ATCGTTATTAATAGGATCAAATCATCAGTTAAAAGGTGAACCAAAATTGCAACTACATTTAAACCATATTGAAATTGAACAGGTCAAGGAGACAAAATTGCTTGGTATAACCCTGGATCATAAATGATCTTGGTCTAAACAAATAGATAATGTTGTATGTAAAATGGGAAGGGGTGTGTCACCTGTAAAAAGAATTGTAAAATATTTGCCTATGGATGTCAGTAGACAAGTTTTGGATGCTTTGGTTCTGTCGCAGCTTGATTATTGTTTGGTTATATGGTCTAGTGCTGCTGAAAAAGATTTAAACAAACTACAAGTAGCACAAAATAAGGCAGCACGATGTGCACTGCAGTGCTCCTACAGAACCAGAGTCACTGAAATGCTGGAGACACTGAAATGGTTAACTGTCAGACAGAGGTCAATTTATATTTTATTACATTTTGTCAGAAATATTACAGTGACTCACTCACCAGATATATTATCACAAAGATTTATAGCGCAATATGCACAACATAACTATCAAACACGACATACAATAGAAGGAAGGTTTGTATTACCCAAATCTAAATCAAATATGGGACAGAAAACAGTCATGTACAGAGCAATGATCAGCTGGAACTCTTTACCGGTTCACATCATTCAGGAACATTCTCAAGCACATTTCAAAAGGTTGCTAAAAAATTATTTAAGTATTATAAAGTACATTTGAACTGTGCCTGTGGCTATGTATGCATATATTATGATGTAAACTTATTTGTATTTACTTTTGTTTGGCCTTAGGATGGCGATAATTGGATGACCATTTTAGTTTTCACTTCATTTCACTGTAAATTGCATGAAATTATGAGCTGTTTTGTTTTGTTTTATTTTATTTTGTTTTAATTTTGTTGCATGTATGTTTATGTATGTTTTGAGTGTGTGAGGACCCCAGGAAGAATAGCCAATGCTCATGCTAGTGCTAATGGGGATCCTAATAAAGACAAGACAAAGACAAATATGGGATTTCCATGCATGCTTTATATGGTAGTATATGTCATATAGCTCAGGACAGCATGTAATTCCCAACAACAACAAAGTGTGTGAAATGCCTCATACACACCGTGTGCTCTTCGTGAGTGTGTGTGGGCGCAGGGAATATTGCACGAGTCAGATGAAAAGCTGAACATTGTGTTGTTGTTTGCATCTAAAACTGCTGTGGAGCCAATACATCAACAAAGATCCAACCAACAAACGCAGCTGAATATTAATTTGGATGCCTTGTATGCGCGGTTTGGACAGAAAATAAGCAGGTGTGTGTGAGAAAGGACACAGGAGGAGAGGAAGAAGGGACATTTAACACATCTGACTGAGATATTTTTGGGTTACATCAGTGATTGTGGAGATGAAACACCAGATTTAGTTGAAGATAGACATTTTTGAGGAGTATATTCGAATGCAAGAATATTCCTAACCTTAAACACATTAAATTGAAAGACTTAAACAATGACATTCAAACAGCGGAAATGGCAGCAAGGCTCCTATCAAATAAGCTGGAGAAAGTATGTGGACATTAGTCAATGATTATCACAATGTGTTATGTAGATTCACAATAAATAAGCTGAGGACTTATTCAATAATACCCTCTGCTACTTGTTAATGAGTGCATTGCTTTACTTAAAAAAGTTGGCACTGTCCAGCTTGAGGACAGTGTCCACAAATTAAAAAGTACCAGCCTTAGATAAGTGCTTATTGGTGCATCATTAAATCGCATATGGCTCAAATCCCAGCAGACGACATGGGGCTATTGTTCTCCGTCTGTCTGCATTTTAAATTGGGTCAAACACCGACTACCTGACCGCACCAGAGGATCAAAGCCAACAGCTGTTCATTTAGCACCCACATACACACTCAAGGAGGCCTTTTTTTATTACAGATGAACACAAACACCAGACGCACACCCCCATGCTTTAATCCCACTTGGATTCCCCCAAACCTCGCTGACACATCTGGTGATTTCTATTGCTAAAAAAGGTCATTTAAGGATTCATTATCTGTGATGTGGGGCATTTTCTTAAAACTTTAAAAGACCCTGTGATGTTGTGGAAGACCAGTGGTGTTAAAGTACTGCACTTTTATGCTTCTCCTCCACTTCAATTCAGAAGTATATGGTGTACTTTTACTCTACACTACATGTATTTAATGCCTTTAGTTACTAGGCAGATTTGGATTACTGATGTGAAATATAATCAACTCTTAAATCAGACTTTAGTTCCACCTGGAGTACATTCACAAGCTACCCTCCTTAAAACTAGCTGCACCTTTAACAGCTTTGAAAACACTTTAATGATCAATCATTATAAAACATATCATATATATTATTCTGAAGGGTTTTCTCACCTCACATGTGCAGGTGAGTCTGCGCGGGTGAGGCGCCTCCTGCTGGAGCTGGTACACTGTGGCAAAAAAATAATAAAAAGTGAGTCAAAAATACTAAAAAAAAGCACTCAAAGCAAATAATGAAAGTATAATTATATAAGCACTTTTTTGGCAATTCCACGGTGCAACAACCATCATTATTTTAATGTGCAAAACGTCATTTTTAGCCCTGGATGAGAACTGACTTATTATTACTCTATATTTAACAAGTTACCTCCTTTATTATTTCTTGCCTTTTTATATTCTATGTCCCTTTTGCTGGGAGACCAATATAGGAATTCTGATTCTGATAAAAATCTTAAATGACAGTTTTAAAAACGGGCAAAATCAGGGTAATACAATTTTTTTTATTTTAAATGCACCAATACTCACAGTAAGACTTCCACACAGGAGGCCGGTATTCATCATGATCTGAGGACAGAAGAAGTACAACAAGGTGTTACTCTAATTGAATTCCCTTTACAACAGCGACACCAAGTGGACACATCTGGTAATAATACATGATACCCGTTATGTCTCAATTTTGATATGAAGCATTAAACATTTAAGATTGGTACGCTCAAGTAACTTAACCTTTGTTAATTCAAACTAATGAAATAGCACAGTATCTATTTACAGCGGTAGCTTCATGTAAAAAACAGACTTTGTGCATTTCATAGTAAATGCTCAAATGCTTGTTTATGGATTAACAGTCGAGATGGGTAGTCATTTTGAAACCATCAGATGTTTTTTACAGCTTAACAATGAACCTACTTAAGGATATTGTGCCGTTATATTGATGCCACTGCCACAAAGAACAAGCCAAATAAAATGTTTAATGTCTAAAATGTTGTCAATTTCACATATGAAGTGAAAGCTCATTTATTTTCTCCATTTACGTGCAATTCATAATGTAAGTATGCTATCTGGCTACGTGCAATTTAGTAGCAGACTTAATTCTGATGAAGAACAGTAATATGCATCCATCCCATGGTGAGCATTTTGCAATTTCAGGCCGTGCATGTGTAAAACTAACAGCCTGTTTCCTGTCTTGTTGTACTTTGTGTTTACTCTGCAAGGCTTATCTTTTCAATACTTGTCTTCCCGGTATCCTGTCTTTTCAAAATAACTCCAGATCCTCCCTGAGCCAAATGTCACACCCTCTTTCTCAAGGAAACATACCCTTACAATTAAACACACACACAAGCTTACCAAAAACATTTAGGGCCATCTTGATTCTGTGATACGATGATGAGGATTATTATGAAGAACAGTTATCCAGAAGATCCAAATTTCCAACAAAACAGACAATTTAAATCCTGAAAGACAAAGAAAAATAAAAATAAGGTGCGAAGCGTTAATTCAACTAATGAAATAACAGTGTCTGTTTGCAGAGGCAGCTCAAATAAATGCTCAAATGCTTGTTTGGATGTTGTAAATGAACGGTTGGAGATGGGTAGGTATTTTTGGAACAATCAGAAACCGTTTTATTAATCCCACCTTCAAAAAGAACAAGCCAAATAAACAGTTTCATGTCTAAAATGGTGACGATTACAGTTTGAAATCATTCATTTACTCCAGTTTGAGTGCAATTACCTCGGGGCATAACACTAAAGGATGTTATTTTCCAACAATAAAAACCCAATGTCGAAATAAACAAGCCAAATTATAAATAAATCTAATTTGTGAAAGCATCAAAAAGCTGTGAACGATGCATTACTATAGCTTTGCACAGAGGATGGTTTGTAAATTAGCTCATGTCTTATTCTCAGACATGGTTTTGAGTAATATTGTTTTATGCATTGTACCATTACACAGAAAACCATAATCATTTTAGGCCCTAAATGGAGTCTGCCTTAACGTTTTTAATGCACTAAAATGTGTGTTGTAAAAGCATGAAAGGGCAGGAGTAGCAAAAGCAACATTTGTGCAGGCATAAAACAGCTGTGGAAGATGCATTACTGTAGCTTTGCAGAGAGGATACCTTGTAAATTAGCTTATTCTCAGACATGCTTTTTAGTTAGTGTAACAGCATCATTTCAGTGGAGTGAAAAACTAGCTGAGTAACAACACATGATACAGCTCCAAATTATAAAGGGAGCGGTAACTCCAGTAGGAAAACTGATCCGCGGATAAAACGGAAATTATACATGGCTACATTTTTCAATTAAACTGCAGAGGAAACATGTGCTTAGGAATACAGTGAAAGTGCACATAAAACAATTTTAAATAATACACTGGTTTGTCATTATATTAACGGTTTTTCTCATAATACTCACACTCAAAGCCCATTCTGCATTGTAGTCGCCATCTTGCTGTGTCACGTGATCAGTCTCGCCTTCTCTCTCTCTCTCTCTTTCTCTGGAGTAGCTATGGCAACAGTCCCGATTTTAAAATTGAGTTTATCGCATACTTCAATAATATAATATATAATTCGTTTGTGTAGCGTTCCTTGCTATAGTATGAAATGGTGAAATGGGGAAGCCAAGCGTACAACTTATATAAATGTTATGGCATAATAAATAACAATTTGATCGTACGAAATGTGGCCGGTTAGCTCAGTTGGTTAGAGCGTCGTGCTAATAACGCGAAGGTCGCGGGTTCGATACCCGTACTGGCCATCTGCTTTTTTTTGCAACGCCACAATTAAACGCCTTTTTTACTACTATCACTATGTTTCAGGATAATATATTTTGATTGTAGAGATGTTCCAATGTTTTATTCGATGCTATTCTAACCATGCAATGTATTCGTCTATTATGATCTGCTTTCAATCGGGTATATTTATATTGTTGTGCATTAAATAGATATACTCAATAGATATACTGATATTTATATTCACATAATTATGCAACCT